TCTCTAGTAAACAGCATATGTAAGGGTCTTGCTTTGTTATCTATTCAGCCATTATATGTCTTCTGATTGGAACATTTAATCTATTTACATTTAAAATAATTGTTGATAGATATGTATTTATTGCCATTTTATTATTCATATTTTTATCTTTTTTCTTCTTCCTAAAGAAGACCCTTTAACACTTCTTGTAATACTGGTTTTATGGTAATAAACTCCTTTAGCTTTTTCTTGTCAGGGAAGCTCTTTATCTGTTCTTCGATTATAAATGATACCTTTGCTGGGTAATTCTGATTATAAGTTCTTGCTTTGCATCATTTTTAATATTTCTTTCCACTCCCTTCTGGCCTGCAAAGTTTCTGTTGAGAAATAAGTTGATTCTCAACATCCTCTACTCCACTGTTGAGTCCCTGTGAGGCAGTCATTTCAGCCAGTGCATTTTTCATCTCTGACTGGTTATCTTCCATGTTTTCTATCACCATTTTTATGTTTCTCATCTCTCTGCTGAAGTTCTCACTAACTTCATCTGCTCTTCCCCTAAGTTTGTTGAGCACCTTTATGACCAGTGTTTTGAACTCTGCATTTCACAGATTGCTGTCTCTATTTTTAGTTTTTTTTCTGGAATTCTGTTATGCTCTTTCATTTGGGACATATTTTTTTGTTTCCTCATTTTGTCTGCCTCCTTATGTTTGTTTCTATGTTATTAGGTACAGCTGCTATGTTTCTTGGGCTTGGTAGAGTGGCCTTACGTAGCATGTGTTCTGTAGGGTCCAGCGGCAGAGCCTCCCTGATCACCCAAGTCAGGCACTCGAGGTGTGCTCCCTGTGAGGCTGTGTACACCCTCTTGTGGTTGAGCCTTGTTGCTGTTGGTGCATCAGTGGGAGGGATTTATCCCCAAGCTGATCAGCTGCAAGGACTGGCTGTGAGCACTGTGGAGGATCAGCCATGCAGAGGCCCAACTCAAGAGCAGGACTTAGTTCAGTAGGGCTCTGGTGCCTGCTGAGTCTGCCTCTTGAGTGTGTCACTTTTGGAGGTGTTTGGGTGGTGCTTCAATGTCGTCTAAGGCTGTCCACTAGGCCTACTGGCTCTTGAGTCTCCTAGAAGGTGAAAGCCAAGTTTAGCTGCTACCTGTGCCCTGCCCAGGGCTACCTGGAGCAAACTACAAAGTGATCTGCAGATGGTGCCACTTGTGCTGGGTCAAACCAAGGCTGGCTGCTGCTAATACCACACCTGTAGCCACTTAATGAAAGTTACAGGGCACGCCAAGGCCAAATGCTGCCTGTTTGAGAGATTTTAGTAAAGCCCAAAGCATGAGCCAAGACAGGCTACTTGTATGAAAAAAACACTGGAAATAGCTTGGTTTGGGCATACAAATTGGGTGGGATGGGGTCTCAAAAAATCACCAGGGCAGGGCGAACAATGGTAACTAGGTTGATGGAGACTCAGATATGGTGCCTGCTTGTTGGTTCTGTGGGGGTAGGGCACAGTAAAGGAACAATGGCTTCTGTCAGCACTCTGTCTGGGAGGAAGTTACCCCTCTAGCTCTCGTCCTGATGCCAGACAACTCAGTTCCTCCCCCTATGTCCCTGGTGTCCTAGCACTGGAGCTTACTCTGAGTAAGTCTACGTGTGGGCCCTTTAAGAGAAACACTAGGACTCCAGTAGCCTTCTGTCTCACTCAGCCATAATCCCCACTGTTTTTCACAGACAGAAGTTATGGGGACTTCTCTTCCTGGCACTGGAACCCTGGGCTGGGGGGTCTGTATGGGGCTGGACCCCTCACTCCTCAGGGGGGATCTCTACATCCAAGATATTCCTCCATATTTTTATCCACTACACATGGGTGTGGGACAAGCCTGTTCTGATTCTCTGCCCCTCCTACCAGGTTCTATGAGGCTTCTTCTTTAATCTTTAGTTGTAGGACTTCTGTTCAGCTACATTTCAGGTGGTTCTGAATGGTGGTTTTCCTCCAGGTTAGTTGTAATTTTGGTATGGTTGTGGGAGGAGCCAAGTCACACATTTACTTATGCTGTCATCTTGATTGGAACCCCAACTTGCATATTTTAGGTTTTCTTTTTTAATTTGAAGTTTCCAGTTTACCTAAACTATATTTTGGTGTCAGTTTTTCCCCCACCCAGAACTCCTTGTACTTTCTGAATATGAGGGTCCATAGCATCAAGTCAGCAACATTCTATCATTTGTCTCTCTGAATAACATCTCAGTGCATTCTCTGTCTTCTCTTTCACTGTAGCTCCTCTTTGACTACTCTTTGGCAAAGGGTAGTTTATTTTTCCACGTCCCTTCAATTTTTTTGTTCCTTCAAATTTACAATATTTTCCACTACTGTTTGTTTTCCACATATGGGTAATCCAGTTCACTAATTTTCTCTTCATCTGTATCTAATTTGTAGCTTACCCTTTCCAATGAGGTTTTATTAACGACTATTCCTCATTTCCAGAGGTTATATTTGGCTTATCTTCAAATCCTCCTGTCCTTTGTTATTAGTCTCATTCTTCCCTTTTTTGTTTAGTCTCTTTACTGTTTATTTTGGTGTTTCTTGTATGATTGCAGACTATGCTATTACATGCAGTTTGTTCTTGGATTGGTACCTAGAGAATTATGTAAGTTTTGAATCTTCTTATGTAAAGATAGGTGTGTTTTTTTTCTGTAGGAATAGAGGGTGCCCTTGGTGATTAATCTCCTTCTAATGTTCTTTCACATTTGCTCCTGCCATCTGTAACACCACTCAGGATCTATTTCTAAGTTTTGAGATTCCTGAACATACCATAATGGTGGTATAAATTCAGATTTCAAACTCATAGAAGGGCCTGGGTTGGGATATCAGTTTAATGTATACATATTTTCTCCCTACCAAGAGTCCTGGAAGGAGATAATATTCCCTTTTTATCTCCATAAGATATAGAAGAAAGTCTACTTGTCTTCTCCTCACCCTTGGGATAATCTTCTTATGGCTTCAACTACTATGTGTATGCTGAAAACTTTCCAATATTTTCCTCTACATATCTAAAATTCAAGATAACTCAAATACAAATCACTAACTTCCCACAAATCAACTGTTTCTCCTTCAAGATTGTTATCTTTGCCAAATACAATATTTCAGCTTCTTAATTCTCGGACATCAGATTCATCTCCAGGTTTTCTTTCATTCAAAACTGACATCAAATTCCTAGGACAGTTCCACTCAGTATATTTATGAAATATCTCTGATTTATTCTTCCTACAGAATGACTCCTGCTGTGTTCAGACTTTATCTCTTTTCTACTCCAAGTTTCCATAACCACTGACACCATGATGTAGTCCATATTCCATTGTGGTCCCTCATACTCAAAATTCCTGATTTAAGTTGTCAAGGGGAAGGGGAAGAGGGGACTGGATGAAAGAAGGTGAAGGCTTTAGCTAAAGAATATATATATGTGTGTGTGTGTGTGTGTGTATAACCCATAGATACAGACAAGAGTGTAGTGGCCAGAGGGAGGGGAGCCATGGGCTGTGTAAAGGTGGACAAAGGAGGGGAAAGTGGGGATGGGCACATCTGTAATAGTGTTAACAATAAAAATAAAGTTAAAAATAAAACATAAAAAAATTAAGTATTTTGTCTGATATAAAACAAAGAAATTGATTCAAATGACCATTTCTCAAATCTCTGAAAGAAGGTACCTAGCTAGCATCATTTTAGATGCATAGAAGAAAAGTTAACTTATTACATATAATGAACACTCTAATTTTTCTATTGAAAGGTTTTCTGGATGAAATATAAATTCCTTAGCATTAAATATAATAATTTCACAATGTATTTTTAGTATTTTCACCAATTCTCCAAAATAAATACATGCCAGCTAAACTTCTGTTAATATTGTTCCTTGAATGAATAATTATCTTTCCACTCCTCTGATCTTTGATAAGTATGCCATACTCTACATAAGGAACTATTATACATGCCTCTATATAAAGTTCTTACACATACATTTACACACACACATACACATTACACAAATTCCTTTAAAAGAGTCTTTATAAAGGTTCTTTACATATGTGTGTCTTCTTAGAATTGTCCATTTCTGTCATAAGTCTATTATATCCATGAAGGAAATAATTCATCTTTATATAACCAGAGTCTAATAGAGGGATTGAAAATCATATAATGAGAAAAGTCAGATAGGTAACATAAAAGTGAAGGGATAGCACAAAACCTGAGGAAGCTGGGAAAGTGAAAGAATTCCCACATCTTATTATAAGGGGGCATCCTTGCTTATTATAAGGAGATTTTCGCCCCCTCTGTGAAAATGTGGGCCCAGTTTAACAGATTTTATAATTTTCCAGGAGAATCATAATATCAAGATTAGCTTATAAAATTTCCTGATTTTTAAACATTTGCTAATAAATAATTTGGGCTTACTGCCAGGCCACCTGTTGGAAAATGGCTGTAATGAAATTGCTCCAAGTAGAAAGTACACAGATAATTGTGGTTTCTAACAATCAAATTTAATACAAAGATAAAGATAGAGACCATGGAGAAGCATAACTAGGTAGCACATCTTACACTATCTTCCTGAAAACTCTCTCTGCACAATTTTTGTAGGAACTCAAAGATGTCAGACCTTCTGAAAGGGCCAAGAGCACCAGGAGCCCGTGTTTCAGACTGAGAAAGGATCCACAGGCTTTGGCAGTCACATGTAGGTGACAAGGTTAACCTTCTATTCAAAATGAATAATACATAGAAACCACCACGTTTAAATGGTAGTTGTTTTGCTTATATTTATTTGAGTGCAAGGTTCTGCTTTTCTTTTTTCCCTTTAGCATAATGAACTCTGAAGCTCAAGGAGATTAACTTCCTTTCTGACCAAAGTTAAGTATATGAGCACATTGTCTCCCTCTTGAGATAATAGGACACACATATTTATTTAATATATTTGTAACATCTTACACAATTATATTTTCCTTATATTTGGAAACCAAAACCTATAAAATTATCACATCTCTTACCTCAAAATCAACATCTCCACAACACTTGCATGCAAAAAATGGACCAATAATTCTTAGAATATCCTTTTTATTCTCATTTTGAATTGTAAACTTAGGCAGATATGGGTGCCTGGTCTGAATAACATAACCTATTGGTGTACCAGGAGGAGCATAAATTTCTACCTGTAAAAGAAAAAAAAAATGTAATCATTGCCATCGTCGTCGTCATCATCACCATGTATAATAAGAACTCTCATTTATTGAGTGCTTTTTTTGTAATGGGCAATAATCTTCTTTTCCAGCTTTATTGAGGTATAATTGACAAGTTTAATTGTAATATATTTAAAGTGTACAATGTGATGATTTGATATACATACATATTGTGAAATGATCACCATAATCAAGTTAGTTAACACATCTGTTACTTCATATTGTAGTGCTTGAGATCTACTCTCTTAGCAGCTTTCAAGCATACAGCACAGTATTATTAACTATAGTCACCGTGCTGTACATTTTATCCTCAGGACTATTCATCTTACAACCAAAACTTGGTGCAGTTTCACCAGAATTTCCCTATCCTCCTCTGCCCAGTCCCTGGCAACCACTATTCAAATCTTTGTTTATATGAGTTACATTTTTTAGATTCCATATGTAAGTGATACCATATTGCATGTGTCTGTTTCTGTCTAACCTATTTCACTCAGCATAATGGTCTCTCTGTGCAGCTATGTTGTCTCAAAGGCAGGGTTTTCTTCTATTTGGCTGAATAATATCCCATTGTATACATCTATATATCTATATACCTATATATCATGTTTTCTTATCCATTCATCTATCAACCAACACTTAGGTTGTTTCCATATTTTGGTCATTGTAAATAACCTGCAAGTAATATGAGAATGTAGGTATCTCTTTGAACACCTGATCTCATTTCCTTTGCATATATACCCAGAAGTGGGATTGCTGGATCATATGCTGTTTTTCATAATGGCTGTAACAATTAATATTCCCACAACCTTGATAAATTATGCCTTGTTTTTTGATAACAGCCATTCTAATAGGTATAACATCTCATTGTGGTTTTGATTTAAATTTCTCTAATGATTAGTTCTCTTGATCACTTTTTCATATACCTATGGACCATTTGCATGATTTCTTTGGAAAAATGTCTACTCAGCTCCTTTTCCTACTTCTAAGTAAAAGATATGTTCTATGCAATACTTAATTGATAGCAAACAGCTACCAGGCTGGTACTATTCCTATTTATAGAGGAAGTAACTGAAGAACAGAGAGCTAACTAACTTGTATCAGATTGCCCAGCTACAAAGTGGACGAGATGAGTCACAAACTCCGCCACTGCCTGCATAGACTCCACTCTTAAGCACTGCTCTGCTGACCTTGTATTTTTAAATTTCCATACTTATGAAACATGTCTAAATTACTAAGGAACTCTGTTCTCAAACTCCTTTAAAAACAGTGAATTAGATGCATGAACAGAACCCTGATGATCACTGGTGCAACTTTCAGATATGCGTGGTGATGGTTCTACAACGGAAAGGAACTGGGACCTGGAATCTTGGCTCTGCTATTAGCTGGGTGGCCTTGAGAGTTCCTCAGTGCGCTCATTTGTAAGTGATGTCGTCCTAGACTGTTTTCTAAGATCCATGTTTGTTAATGTGCTCTTTACATTTGGAGCATATTCCATCAAACTCTCCACTTTCCCTCAGATATTCCTATGGACAGATACTGTTATACCTTACCTAAATGACAACACAAAAAATAATTCAGCAGGAATAACTTGTTATCTTTTGAAAATTAATGCAGTCTTAGACTTCAAATATCTATGTGGCTGTGCCTCAGTCTGTTCCCCGGTCCCACAGCTACTTGTTGGAATCACTGACCAGGCAGGGCTGGTCTCAGGCAGTGGAAGACAGGCAAAGGCCAACTATCCTGTAGGCCCTCTGTGCCCCGGTGTCTCTCCGAGATCCACACTCTGAATCAGTGAGCTGGCAAGTAATATGAAACAGACACTTGGTCTTTAGAGAGCTGAAGGTACCCACACCTAGCATATTTCTATTATAGGAGACTCAAATATATTAATTTTTAAAAATGGGGAACTTAAACACACAGGAGTGGAGATTTCTCAGAGGCAGTCTCCCCTGGGTTTCTTCCTTAATAGGGTGGCCCAAATTGTTGGGTGAACATGTCTGTTCTCTTCCACGTTCTCTGTACACTTGCTCCTGGAATTGTATTCTAGGGTATTCTCTGGGGTGCCCTCCTCCAGCTTCAGGCAGGCCTCTCCTGGTCATTTCAAGTAAAGGACTTGACCAAGGTGCCTTATCTTCTCAGCTCTCCCCAAATTCAGACTCTGAGCGATGCTCATTCCCACGAGAGACTTTCTCAGGGCGAGGGGGCTCACTACTCACTATTTTACCCCAGCCATCCTTCTTGTCCACATTACTTTCAAGCATAAAATAATATCTCATGGGAAATCTTTAGAAAATCTCATTTGATTATATAGATTCAATGAAAGGGTGAAAATTTTTGTTGAACTGCTTTAAATATTATGCTGGTAATTTCTGACGGACCTGGTGAAGGCAGCAGGAGCAACAACAGCAGTCACATTTCAGTGGTTTCTCCATAGTTATGACCTCTCGGCCCATCAGATCAAGAATCCTCATGCTAAAAGGCCTATAACCCCCACAGCAATTTCGGGTACAGCAACCAGTATCTTCCATGACAAAGTAAATCTTCTGTCCAAGGCGGTTTTTAATTTCGTATTTGTTATTTGTTTCAATATGTATGATGACTGAAAATAAAGAAGAGGAGATCTTAACCACCATTATGTTTAAAAATATAATGAATCTAAATACTTAAAATATTTTCAGATATTACCTGAGATGATACTTCATGCCCCATAGTGTGAACGAAAAGGAAAGGTGTTTAGAGATGATTTAGGCAGGGAAAAACAGCAACGGAGGACAAGCAGGAGAGGGTAGAGAGGGCTACAAAGAGTCTTCTGTGAGACTCGGAAAAGAAAACCCGAAAACCCACATCCTCCTAGTTCCACAGACTCCTGTCGGGAAGGGAGGCTCAGCGGCTGGGGGATGGGCAGTGCTCAGATGGCCACCGTCCCGCTAGGTGTATGCAGAGCATGTCCACTTGGTTGGTTCAGTTTTCAGATATTCGTTAGGGAGGGAGGAGAGGATGATTGCTATGCCCATGCTCTGGGAAACAGGATATAAAATAAATTGGCTTGTGACTATGTTTTGTACCATGTTCATGGCTTGCTTTTTGCATGAGTGAGGGAAGGTAATGAAGGCGTTTACTCTCAGTGCACACCTGTGAACAGGGAGAGAAAGTGCAAGGGGGGGTCAGAACTCTACACTGGGCCTGGGCCCTGTTCAATGCAGCAGTAGTTGCCAGAAGTGGGAGGTGGTATTAGACAAGGGGGAAAAGTGCTTGGCAACCGGGCTGCAACTCATAGAATATCTAGACCACTGGCACCCTAAGTGAACTCTATACCTTGGAGGGGCTGATCTCCTCACTGGGGAAAGAGACATGCTAAATACTCACACCCGCCTGGCATCTTAGCAAAGTCTCCCCAGGGGAACCCACATTGGAAACTGCTCCTTCTTAGTGCCAGGAAGGAGCAGTTCCTGGTCTCACTTGTCCAGAGCCCCCATTAACTTGGGTCCTAGGATGTTGCAAGCCACCCAAATAACAAGTGATTAAAAGAAATATATGGAGACAAAACAACTCTCCAATATCTGTGTGGACGGACTTTAATTCAGAGAGAGGCGTCCTGCACAAAGTCTAGCACCAGGACCTCCTTCAGTGTCTCCTCTCTGACTCACATAGGCCCTGGACTCTGCCTTTACAAGAACCACACTCAAGCTCAACATCTGCCAGTCAAATGTTTCATGAAAAACACACAAAAAACTGGTTTATGAGATGGTATTACCCAAGTGTTTCATTAAGTAAGTAACTCTCAAAAATCTGCTTGTTTATCTGTAAAATGAGATCAGTGGTCTTACACAATCTCTAAATTTATTTCTTGTTACTTAAAAAATAAAAACAAAAAAGAATTCCATGAGTATATCTCTAAGGTCTATTAAATTTTTATTGGATGCTTTCATTTTTATAAAATTAATTGGTGTGATCTTGGTTAATAAGATTATATAGGTTTTAAGTGTACATTTCTGTGATACATCATCGGTATATTGCATTGTGTGCCTGCCACTGAAAGTCAAATAATCTTCCATCATCATATATTTGACCCACTCTACCCTTTATTACGCAGCTTTCTTCTGGTAACGACTGTACTGTTGCCTGTGTCTGTCAACTTTGTTTGCTTTTCTTGTTTGTTCTTTTGTTGCTTTCAGTTTTATATCCCACATATGAGTGAAATCATATGGTTCTCTACATTTCTGCCTGACATAGTTCACTTAGAGTGACATCCATGTTTTTGCAAATGGCAGTATTTCATCTTTCCTTATGGCTGAGTATATTCCATTGTGTACATGTCCCACATCTTCTTTATCTAGTCTTCTGTTGCAGGACACTTTGGCTTCTTCCATGTCTTGGCCACCGTGAATAATGCTGCACTGAACATAAGGGTGCATATGACTTTGAGAATAAATATTTTCAAAGTTTTCAGGTAGATACCCAGGAGAGGGATTGCTGGGTCGTATGGCAGCTCTATTCTTAATTTTTTGAGGAATCGCCAGACTTTCCATAGTGGCTGTCCCAGTCTACATTCCCACCAGCAGTGAGGGAGGGTTCCCTTCTCTCCACAACCTCTTCAACACTTGTTATTGCTTGTCTTGTTGATAGCAGCCATTCTAACAGGTGAGAGGTGGGATCTTATTGTAGTTTTGATTTGCATTTCTCTAATTGCTAGAGAGGCTGAACATCTTTTCATATATCTATTGGCTGCTCATATGTCTTCTTGGGAAAGGTGTCTGTTCAGGTCCTCTGCCCACTTTTTGATTGGGTTGTTTGTTTGTTTGGTGTTGAGTTTCATGAGTTCTTTATATAGTTTGGAAACTAAATCTTTGTCAGAGCTACTGTTTGCAAACATCATCTCCCATCTGGTTGGCTGCCTGTTTGTTTTGTTTTCAGTTTCTTTTGCTGTGCAAAACCCTTTTAGTTTGATATAGTCCCACTCATTTATTTTTGCCTTTACTTCCCTTGCCTTTGGGGTCAAGTTCATAAAATGTTCTCTACAACCAAGGTCCATAAGTCTGGTACCTATGATTTGTTCTATGTAACTTATTGTATTGTTTTGGGTGTCACATTTAGATCTTTGATCCATTTTGAGTTCATTTTTGTACATGGGGACAAACTGTAATCCAGTTTCATTATTTTGCATGGGGCTTTCCAGTTTTCCCAGCACCATTTATTGAAGAGATTATCTTTACTCCATTCTGTGTTTCTGGCTTCTTTTTTCAAAAATTAGCTGCCCATATGCATGTGGTTTTATATCTGGGCTCTCTATTCTGTTCTACTGATCTGTGTGTTTCTTTCTGTGCCAATCCCATGCTGTTTTTGTTATCGTAGCTCTGTAGTATAATTTGAAGTCAAGTAGTGTGATACCTCCAGCTTTGTTCTTTTATCTCAGGATTGCTTTGGCTATTTGGGGTTTTTTGTGGTTTCATACAAATCTGATGACTTCTCATTCTATTTCTTTAAAAAATGACATTGGTATTTTGATGGGGATGCATTAAATCTGTATATTGCTTTGGGTAATATGGCCATTTTAACCATGTTGATTCTTCCAATCCATGAACATGGGATATTTTTCCATTTTGTTGTGTCTTTTTCCAACTCTTTTAATAATGCTTTATAGTTTTCAGTATATAGGTCTTCCATGTGCTTTGTTAAGTTTATTCCTAGGTATTTTATTCTTTTGGTTGCAATTGCAAAATGATTTTTTTCTCTCATTTCTTCTTCTGAAGTTTTGTTGTTAGTATACAGGAAGGCAATGGCTTTTTTAACATTGATTTTTGTATCCTGCAATTTTAATGCATTTGTTTATTGTTTTTAATAGTTTTTTTGGTGGAGCCTTCAGGGTTTTCTAAATACAGAATCAAGCCATCTGCAAAAAGTGATAGTTTTACTTCTTCCTTCCCTATTTGGATGACTTTAATTTCTTTCTCTTGCCTTATTGCTCTGGCTGGGACTTCCAGAACTATGTTGAATAAGAGTGTTGAGAGTAGACATCCTTGTCTTGTTCCTGATTTTAGAGGAAACGTTTTCAGTTTTTCCCCATTGAATATAATATTGGCTGAGGGCTTATTGTATATGGCCTTTATTATTATGTTAAGATACTTTCCTTCTATTTCTATTTCATTGAGTATTTTAATCATAATTGGATGTTGTATCTTATCACATGCTTTTTGTGTATCTGTTGATAAGATCATATGATTTTTATCCTTTCTTTTGTTAGTGTGGTGTGTTTCATTGACTGATTTACATATGTTGAACCATCCTTGTGCCCCTGGAATGAACCCAACTTGGTTATGATGTATTATTTTATGATGTACTGCTGTATTTGATTTGCTCGTATTTTGTTTAGTATTTTTGCATCTGTATTCATCAGAGATATTGGTCTGTAGTTTTCTTTTTTTAAAAAGCGTTATCCTTACCAAGTTTTGGTATCAGGAGTATATTGGTCATAAACGTGTTAGGAAGTGTTGCCTCTTCTTCAACTTTTTGGAAGAGTTTGAGGATAGGTATTAACTCTTCTTTGAGCCTTTAGTAGGCTTCACTGGTGAAGCCATCTGGTACTGGACTTTTGGTTTTTGGTAGGTTTGTTTTTGTTTTTTTTTTAATCTTTATTGTTGAAAGTATTACAGATATCCCCCTTTTTTCCCATTGATCCCTTCCACCCCATATCTGCCCCCACACCCCAGGCCTCCACCACACTATTATTCTGTGTCCGTGGGTTATGAATATATGTATATAAGTTCTTTGATTAATCTCTTCCCACCCACTCCTCCCCACCCCCTCCTTCCCACTGAGATTCAATAGTCTGTTCCATGCTTTTATGTCTCTTGATCTATTTTGTTCCTTAGTCTGTTTTGTTTATTAGATTCCACAGATGAGTGAGATCATGCAAAACTGAATCCAGAAGGATCAGAAAACCTGAATAGGCTAATAACAACTGATAAAATCAAAGCAGTAATAAAAATACTACCAGTGAACAAAAGCCCTGGTCTGGATGGCTTTACAGGGGAGCTTTCTAATTCTTTAAGTTGTAGGGTTAGATATTTTACTAAAAATGTATCTTGCTTTTTTGACGTAGGTCTGCAGTGCTATGAACTTCCCTTTTAGGACTGCTTTCACTGTGCTCCATAGATTTTGGGTTGTTGTGTGTTCATTTTCATTTGTTTCCAGGAAGTTTTTGATTTCTTTCTTGATCTTATTGGTAACCCATTCATTGTTTAATAACATGTTATTTAACCTCCATGTATTTGAAAGTTTTTGAGTGTTTTTAATGTAGTTGATTTCTAATTTCATGCCCTTGTGATCTGAGATGCTTGATATGATTTCAATCTTCTTGAACTTGTAGACTTGTTTTGTGTCCTAACATGTGTTCTAACTTTGAGCATGACCCATGTGCACTTGAGAGGAATGTATATTCTGCAGCTTTGGGGTGAAATGTTCTGTAAATGTCAATTAAATCCATCTGATCTAGTGTGTCATTTAATCACTGTTTTTGTGTTGACTTTTTTTCTGAAATATCTATCCAGTGAAGTCAGTGGGGTGTTAAAAGTCCACAATTATGACTGTATGGCTGCTGAT